CAAGTAGTAACAAAAGGTGACTATTTGTATCTTTACTAAAACATACATTCATATTGTTGGACTTGGCTATAAATAGAATATAAATCCACTTTTCTCTGGGTCCCAGTTTGTCTTTGCTTCTACAGCTTGCCATCTTTTACCAAAGTCATAATCTCAATCACAACAAGTTCTGGCTAATCTCACTGTACGTAGACATACAATATAACATGTTAATAAAAATGTATATGGTTAATCTCAATAAAATTTATAAAACAAACGGTGCCCTAATGTGATCATTTAGGAACTGAATTATTTATGGATTTCCTGAAGTACTTTACGAGGAACAATAGTATTAGGAACATATCTTTACGAACAACATGTATGATAATCTCGATAAAAGTGTGCACTGTATATAAACAGTAGTATATACATTTGTACAGAATTTCATGGCACTGATATTTGTTGCAAAAGTACTAGAGAAAAATACAGGTGTAGAGCAGTACAACATAAACAAATATGACAGACCAACAGCAGTCATAAAAGATGTCTAGGCTTCTATTACGTGAGACTTAAATCGAAATCGTTCAAACTTCAAACCATTTGGAACCTATTACAAGAGAATGATACATTGACATCATTAAGAATTAGAAAGGCAAACTACTCAAGTTTTCAGCTATGAAATAAATCTCAGAAGTTTGATCAGCATATCAGGGTCTAACTCGAAGACATTCTCATGATGAGAGATAAAACTCAAGAAGGCACAGTCTGTCCACTGTCAAAGACAAAGCCTTGCCCTGTCTAGGCTGACAGTCGAACAGAATCGACAAAATCACAATTTTACACGGGGCAGCCACTTGTTTGACTTGTCAAATCTGCATGATCGGATCAAAGTCGGGATCAGAGCGGACAGTTCACACCAGGGGTAATCAAACCACAGCCAACAGACCAAATCTATGGTTACCAAAATAACTGAGTCCTTTATTCATCAACTGTGCAAATCAAACGAGTTTTCATAGACTTCTTAACTTCTAGCAAATGCATCACATTCATGCTGCTTTGTTTATTAGATTCATAATATCAAATAATTTTCTTGTCTTATTATAATATTACTTAATTTATTGACTTTTTTTGGTATATAGACCTACATAATCTGTTTGCTGTCTTTATTTTTTGAGTATTTTGTCCATTAATAAATGAAATATCTATAATACTACCACTGCTATTAATCTTTACGTTTTCAGAGTACTGTATAGATCAAAAATACTAATCCAGGCCACACTTGGCATTCTTTCACTTAACCAGCCCTCTTTGAATAGAGTTTGGTGACCCCTGGTTTTTACACTAATACAAATCAATCTGGCAGGAATGGATTGTGATCTTGTGATCTTCTGTGGGCTTCAACAACGTTCATGGACTCCCACAGTAACAACAAATGTTCCAAATAATTCTCCCCGCCCCCCTACCCCACCCCCTTAAGGAGAAAAAGAAGGTATTCATTCGTCAGAATCAAATTAATTTTTGTCCCCGGCTTTGGTCAGAGAAAAAGAATAATGAGTCGCATTTAGACATAATTTATGTTGAAGCTAAAGTATACAACCCCAAGCTTTTCTTCGAGTAAAAAATTTATTAAACAAAAAATCTGTAGAAATTGAAACGGTATCCCGGAAAAAGGCATCAATTCAGAAATATACATCCAGAAAGGTCATCACCTTCACACACTGCTACGACAGAATCAGACAAGTGGCAACCCCACTTCAAGGCGAACATTACGGGAGGTCAAATAGAACATCTTACTTTGCTGTACAAGACATGCCTCACCTAAAGAGGAACAGGGACAGATGAAAAATGGGTAAATGATTACGCAAGTATTGTCGCAAACGAGAGACCTTAACTTTTTTCTGCCAAATTCTATAGCATTATGCAAACAGTTTTATATCACAAAAAAAGAGAAAGTACAATCACTTCCAGCACAGATAAAGCAAATTACATATCTCACTTTATTATGCGAACGTTTTAGCTTTTTTTGTAGAAACTCTTCACAATAACAAAGGAATAACTTCGAGATCAACTGTGAAGACTTGTCCTTTAGTGGCACACAATGCCAAAGAAAACCTAAAATATTATATCACTGGACGTTTCCATTACAAAATTACCAAAGTGACGAATTAATCAGGCTTATTTCAAGCTCATAGTATACCATCCAAAATGGTCATTTTCTTTCACAAGCCTACCAGTTAAAAGAGTTCCTGATGATTTGAGGGTTTAGGGAGAGGACCCATTATAAAAATACAAACCTTTCCGGCTAAAAACCTCAAAAAAGAGCCTAAAGATGGACGACCCATCTGATCTCCCAAAGCAATGAGTTAAATAAAAAAATAATGTCTTCAGTTTTACAAATTTAGTCACCACTTCACATGAATTCTGTAAGTAGTGAGCTCACAGACCGGAAACAAAACCAGGACACATCTTGTGCCATCTTTCCCAAGGATTATCACAACAAATAATATTCTCTTTATTAATAACAGTTAGCAACAAATTAGCATCAACTCCAGATTTCACAGATAAAAGGTTCTCTCCCACCGTGAAATGACCTTTGTACAAGCAACAATTTTCAAAAATGGACATTCAGAAAAAGTAAAAGAATTGTGACCTTTCCTTTAGCACTTAGTGAGAGCTTTCGTTCGGACAATATCACACACAATAACCACATGAAACAGAATGATCTATGTTAAAACCTACAACAGCTTGATTAAAGGCTGAGGAGAGCGGAAAAAGACAAATTAAAATGTCAACTACCTTTCGATGCCAACATGAGATTAAAAACGGTTAAGCTTCTAGTTCATTGAGGACATTAGTTCAATCATAATCTCCCAGAAGATCACAACATTGTAAGAGAAAGTTGATACCTGGAATGAAAAACATCAACCCAGGAGAACCCCTTTCATTACAGAAAATACTTGCTTTTGGATAATGTCTGTACGTTGAAAGCAGGTATGCCTGCTGCTAAATACTGATCTTTTCACAAAATAAAAGGTATCATATTTCATTCTAGTTACAAAACAACCACAGATGTAGCAGAGGGACGCTATTTCTTCTAAAACCTCACACAACGCATCTAAACTTCATGAAGTGATCACATTCGGTTCCCAATTTAACCTTTTAAGGTAAATCAGGAACCTCCTGTATCAATGATAAAAATCACAGTTTGCCTATTATTATTGTAACTTCATAATTCCTTGCAAGACAGTGAGCTAAAATAATTCCTGAGCTGAGAAAAGTTTGACGGCCTATCTGAGCTTCAATCCAATTCACTCTCCCTCCCGTGTGAAGATAAGTAAGAAGACAAATAATCAAATATTATATATCGTAACAAGAGCTATTGTGAAAAAGTCATGTAATGCAAAGACATAGAGAATGAAACAAGTCAACTACTCAAGTGTGTCTGTATATGCATGCGGAAAGCACGCATAATTCCTCCAATTCATATAAATATGTATGGGCCCTACGAATCAGGAGACCTCTGAAAAATATAGATTGTTTAACAGAAAATACACATCATATAATAAACAGGAAAACCTCCACATTTTTAATGTACACAATTCAAAAGAAAAAGAAAGAACTTCAATCTTGACTTTATGCCAAAAATGGTTATATCAGGGAGGATATATGATTGACATATCATATAAGTCAAGCCAAACTGCCCAGATTCACAAAATTTTTTGCAGCATTTATGTATATGCAGCTCCTGGTTATCTTTCTACGGTGTGAATTACAGACTTAAAAGTGGAATTATTACACTTATGGCAACATAACAATTACTCCACTCAGAGAAACAAAAGTTATGAAAGCAATTAATGAAGCACCTACTAAATGGACTGGGCTTCTCCATTCACACACACACACACACACACAAACACACACACACACACACACTTACACACACACACACACACACACACACACACACACACACACACACACACACACACAGACACACACACACACACACACACACACACACACACACACATATATATATAATATATATACTTATATTTGATAAATCTATGAGAGAATATACGCATGTATCTATATACAATTACAAATAATGTCTTCTGTACATATTTCGTACCCGCATAACAATGAAAACACCATTGAATAATCGCATTACTTAGTCTCTAGATACAGAAACCTAAACACAGGACACAATTATAATATGTAGGCACCACTTCTAGTGAACATCAACAGCTTTCACTTCGCTAATAGCTCAGCAAGTATATAAGGCTTTAAATTGAACAGGTTATCAAAGTGTGTTTACGATTAAAACTAAACTATAGAGTGCCTTGGTTTATATGATAGCCCTGAAGGTACTCATCTTGTTATGCTACTGTAATTCCTAATGGGACAGATATAGCTGACATCCTTTTATGAACCTGAAGAAGAGAACTAATCTCAGAGGCTTTTCTTCTCCAACTGTAGGAACATTGATTAATACAATCTCACCAATTCCCTTTTTCCTCAAATGTCAACGAATCATAGAGATATCAAGTGGGCAACCGATCCCTCCCCAAAGCCTCAAAAAATATAGCAGACATCCTCCCTATCCTACCATTAAAAATGTATCAACAAAACCCCAGCATAATCAGAAAAAAGAGCTTAAGAAGAAAAAATAGGCCCCCAAATGAATGAAAGATGCGACAACAGATAATAAAGGAAAAAAATCAGAAGTGCATGTTTTGTAGCTGAGACACAGAAAAGCAAGAGTAAAATGTCAAATCACCAACATTTACTCACTGTCCAAAAAGTCACAGCCATGGATTCTATGGCTCATAATGATTCGACTATATAATATAATTATATAACATATGACACAATTGTTTTAAGCACCACATAGTAATTGGCATAAAAAGGACATGGCACATTTAGATTTTAGAGTATTAGAGCTTTAAAAAAGGGATTACCTTTTGTGCTGTAAAAATTGCATATGGTTAATCCAGCTTCAATTTAAAAAAGATATGATCTTATTTTTTTTTCTTTTCATGAGTCAATTGATGTGTGATAAATCTCAGTGACTTTATGTCCCACTTGTAACTAATATCTATAAGATGTCTCTATAATAGCAACTTATTGGGGTTCTACCAACAGCAAAAATGATGTCATCTCGTGTAGAAGAGTCATACTTTTGAGATGTCTTAACTGCCCTATCAGTACAAGGTTATAAACATTCTAGTCTTATCAAATTTTGACAGTGTCAAGTACAAAGTGGCCAATTAAAGAACAGACTTTTCTTTTAGTAGGAAATAAATTTAACTGATTTTATCTACTTTTATCACTGAATTCAATGTGGAATTTTTGGGTCCGTTTAGATGATTCCTTTAATTTCCTTACTAGATATCTATCAACATATGATACAGAACCTTACTGTTGATGGCAAGACACCCCAAAATGTTTTACTCTTTTCGAAGCTCAGACTCAACCTGTTTGCGTTCTCTTTTCATGCACCATGGCCAGTATTCTTCTCAGTAATTCAAAAACATTACACAACTTTTCTTGTCAGTTCTCTATCCCTGCCCCTGATTGAACAAAGTGAAGCAGTAACATGGATAGAGGTCTGCAAAAGCAATATACAGAAGCATAATTCATATTTATAGGCTTGAAAACAGAACAGTTAGGAAGGAAACAACCCAAAATTCCTCTTGGAAATACACACTGATCATAATTCAAAATACAACCTAAAATACCTTTCATTACTATTTGGAACTACACACTGATCATAATAAGAAAACCATCTACACACTACACAGACACAAAACAAAATATATGTTGGCTATGCAAGCATGAAGGCCAACTGTATGAAGTATAATACAGGGGCACAGTGAGTCAGATTGCTTGAAGAACCACAAGGCCTTTAACACTGACAAAGAAGTATGTATGGCATGTAAATACAATCAGCTGTAAAACAGGGAAGAAAAAATCCAAACTCAAATAAAATGAGGGGGGGAGGGGGAGAAAAGTAATATGGCACGTAAGTAGTAAATAAAAGCTTTTAAAAGAATGGCACTGGGTTAACAAACTCAACCGGTATCTTCAGCCTTTAAGTCGCTCGCTTGAAGCAGCATCAGGCAGTCTCACAGATCTCAGTTCTGCCGTTTAGAAAATCCTTTGCATAATCACTTTTTTACTGTAAAAGTATCTGACAATGAGGTTACGTCAAACAGATTAGATGCTCTTTTTAAAAAATAAACATCAATATAAACAAAGTTCAAAGTCGTGCATTGTGCAATGTTTGGCGCATTAAGAAGGAAGGCTTTGCTTATGGCACACAGCGAGGTCTGTAAAAATCATATATGGAACGTATTTCGTAGAACCACCTTGAGGTCAATGGATGCAAGTTTCTGACGAACACGTTGAGGTCACTGTTGAAGATTTGGTAGCTATATACGAATTATAACTGTTTTCTCTTTTTTTTTTGTCAGAAAAAAAGAACAGTCTCAGCTAAAGCACGACCATTTTTATTCCTGAGTCGTCAAAATAGTAAAAAGGCAGACAAGATCTTGAAGGAAATGCACAGGGTCCTCCGTTATTTCCATCATCCTGAGTTTCCTGTTTCTATGTATTACTGCTATAAGCACAGTTAAGTCTCGTGAGTGCTTCACCACAATGGCACAGACAGCAGATTTGCAAATAGTCAAAAGTCAACAACAAGTCAATCTTACACACAGACCGTAACTGATCGTGTGTCTTATTTATCCCAAAATAAACTTTGTCCTCGACAAGTCATGAGACTACACAGATCTCTGCCAGGAATAAAACAACTACCCGGCTTGTAATCATCCTCAGAGAAATATCGGAAATGGATACTGTGCTACAAGGAACGTCTCAGAGGTCAATTATTCCAGAAATATATCTGAAATAGAAACTGCTCTATAAGCAACGTCTTCGAGGTCAATTGTTTGGCTTTCAGCTGACGTTCAGCGTATTCTCAGCTCCAACTGCCTCTCGTTGTCTGGGCATGGACATTTTATTGTTGACCATGTCAGACGGCAGTGACATCTTTTTCATCAGATTGTTGTACCACAGGGTCATCAGACGAACTTGAGGCATTAGGGACAACAGTTTCCTCAATCTGTGGGGATTCTCCGACTTGGCTGGTGGGGAAATATAAAGAAGGCAAATAAGTTAAATATTACTAGAAAGATTTGTCCAAATAGTACTACAACGACTTTAATCAACATTCTGTGTGACATGTTATGTTTAAATCTATAAAGCAGAATTTGATTACCTCAAATTTAAGCTTATCTTTAAAAAAAAAAAAAAGAAGAAAAACTCAACAAGACTTCCCCATTCTTTCCCTGTGCATGTAATGTATAAACACTATCATAAATACAAAGCAACTAAAAGAAATACAAAAAAACAAAAACAAAAAACAATGAACAACAACATAAGACAATTAGCATAGATATGTAAAGAAAAACTATCATTAATAAACAGTAACTAGCATAAATAGATAGAGGAAGACTAGCATTAATCTGTAGTAACTGACATAATATAATATATTCTAGAGACTTTCATAAATATATATTATAGAAACTGTGAAGAAATAAAGAAACTATATGAATGCATCTTTAAACACAATACATTTTGCGAGTTACAAAGCTTAGCATGAATTGTGAACACTTTTAACAATAGGTGACATTATAAAACTAGAAAAGAAAGGTGAATTCTTTCAGGTAAGTGTTACTGTGAAATTCAGAATACAATATTAACATTTTAAAATTGAAAAAAGAAACCAACAACCAAAACTGATCTTACGACCACTTAATTAAATTGTCTAAGACAACCAGCTGAAAAAATGACCTCTCTTCCCAATTTCCCCTGGAGGTCTAAGGTTCTTTCTATATTACAATGACACTATACATGAGGACCACGTACTTTCTAAGATGACTGCTATCTCTTCGACAATTCGCTGTCGCCTTGGACAAGTTCCTCTTTTCAAATATATCACAATACATCTTTAAAAAGTGTTTTTCATATCCCACTTGAAAGCAGCAAGAAAACTATGCTGGTAACATCAAACCCGACATCCCTCGAGAAGCTTCAGCTGTTCCCCAGCACACTTACCTGCTATGTGGGCCCCTAGTGCGTCAACAAGAGCATCTCTCACCACACACACAATGTCAGGCTTGATCAGGCCAGGACAGTCTGTGGAAACACATGCAAACAGTAATTATACATGTTTGTTCGTCATTATCTGACTATGACCCGCCCAATGCATCTGGAATAGGAAAATATTTCTTTAAAAGAAATAGATGAAATAAAGACGGAAAGATGTGCATACCATATACAATATGCGTATATGCAGAAAAATGCAAGTTTCTTCACTTTGATTATTTTGACGAGAGCCTGATTCCACCATGCTGCCTCACATATGCCCAAAAATAAAAAAGTGTCAGATTCCACCGCGAAGTGACACATAGTATAATGTATACCGTAGACCAATGTAGTAAACACGAACCTCAACAAACAATGATCAGGTCGTGAATACATAACAGCAACTCACCAATGCTGGTCATACTGATAGCACACAACATGGCTGCCTCTGTCCTGTCCACTGTGATGTCATGGATGCGGTCGCCTAGCGACAGGAGATGAACCTTGTAGGAGAACAGGGGGTTCTGCATCGGCATGGTCCAGTTCCAGATGTACTTGAACCTGGGACATTTAGGACACAAAGGTTGTCAACGGTGGTAAAGAGAATCAATTCTGATTTCTTCCTTTTCTTTTTTTTTTGAGGAGGAGGAGGAGGAGGAGGAGGA